GATGTACGCCATTGATTCTGTAGTTGCCTTTAGTTGTACCCATTCTGCCCTGGGAAAGGATAATATGTTTTATAATTTCTCCTTGGTGATATTGCATGAGTTTACCTCCCTATATTCTGTTTTTGTAGTTCATGTAATTACCTGACTAAACCAGTTTGTTTTTTTGGGATCAGTGTTTCACAAAACGGATCGAGACTTCTCCAAGAATGATGTAAGAGACAGGTGGAGAGGTTTGTCATATAAGCTTACTCTTCCTACTCGTATTTCATCCTATTATTGTGTTTGAATCCGCACTGTTACAAGTTTTTTTTTTCTGTTCACTTCAGCTGGTTAAGTCATTTTATAAATGGGGCACTGCTTGCTTTCTGTCTAAAATAGCCCCTATACTTACTGTACATGTGCAGCAAGCCACATTTAGTTTAGCTAACTGTACTCATGAAACAGCTGCCCAACATGGGCCTTGAAGCCCATTAAAGTATTATATTTTGGCTGCTGGGTGGTAAGTTTGTCTTCATAATGCATCTAAGTGGACTGTGGAAAACTCACAAGTCCTTGACTATACAATCAGTCATTGCTATTTCACAATTTCTCAGTCCTTAACAACATTGTGTTTGTGTTGAAAATAGCTTTAGATATTGTACTCAATGACAGCTGGGAAAGATGAGAATATAAAAGATGTCGAAGTGGCCAACATATTAGTGTGTCCGTGGAACGTGATAAAGAAAAAGAAAAATCTTTTATAACTTACAAAAACACGTTTCACATTTCTAGAAATGTACCTATTTATTCATGTTGGTTTTATATGGTTTTGTAAATTTATTATATAATTTAATAAACAAGTTTATTGGCTCTAAAAAGAATGCACGTGGTTCTACAATCAAAGTAAAAACATTTTACATTTATATATATTTTTTAAATTAGCCTATAGTTTATTTATTTATAACCTGAAATAATCTTGCTTTGTCAAAAAATAAATAAAATTATGTGATATTTCAAGGTATTATTGACTTTGACACACGTCATTTCTGTTTTATGGTTTTGTTTTGTTTTTCAGCAGCTTCATAAGCAGTGAAGCTGTTTTTTCAATAAATAATAATACATGATTATGGCAAACAATTTAAAAAAGTATATATATATATATTTATTTTTTTACTCATTTCCTATGTTTTTCTTTTTCTTAGTATATCAGGATAGTTGCATCAAACTGACATTTTTATATATATATATATATATATATATATATATATATATATATATATATATATATATATATATATACCCCCCCCCCCCCCCCCCCCCTCCCAACTCTAAAAAAGAGTGTCTTGTCTTTTTAATATTAATATCAACTTCAGCAGAAATAAAAAAGGTAAAACTCATCATTGACCCATGTGCTGCAATAAACAGATTTTTATCAAGAGATCCTGCTGATGTCGGAGCCAACTTTCTCATGGGCAGCATCCGACATGTATGGTTGCACTTATTTTCTTTTCCTTTTTTAAAAGAGATACTCCTGATCATACATATGTTTATTGTTTTCATCCTGTCATGGTTATTTGAAGTGGCCTCGTGCTCTGTTTACCAACTGGTTTCAGTAGAACAAAGAAAACAGCAGAAAGTTTAACATAAATCTACATCACACAATTGTTAATTGTGTTAAGTCATGTCAGGCCTCAGACGTTCATAAAGAACATGTTTTCAGACAGCATTTTAGACCTTTCCAGTTTCATGTGGCATATTGTCTGTTACATATTGTCCAGTACAGTACCTTGTACTGGATTACATTATGCATAAAACTGAAAAGTTTTCTCAACATCTGAAAAATACACCCACTTACTTTTTTTATTTATTATGAATGTTAATATTCTTTTATAGAGACCATTATGTAATGCTATCCTAAAGGGGCATTTCACTGTGAAATGAAAGTGCCAGGCAAGCACTGAACTTTTGTGCATTTTTCACAAATGCATATTAATGCTTTCAGAGTTTTAGACAATTCACTTTCTAGCTTTACGGAGGGATGTTGCTATCTTTTATGTAAGAGCTTCCTGCAGGGCATTGAATGCCATGTTTCACGCTGCGGCGTGTTGTGTGCATTTATAATCAGGTGCTCAAATATGGGTAACCATACCCTGCTGAGACAGTCAATGATCATATGTGGAGGAGGAGATCTATTCACAAATAGAAGAGCACATAATTACCTCAGTTTTGTGACCTGATTTGATTTTGTCCTTTGCAACAAAATGTGAGAGAGCATGAAAGAAAAAATGCTTTGTGTGTGTGTGTGTCTGTGTCTGTAGGACCACTTGCTGATCAAGCACCCTGACCACACACACTGGCATTTTGTATCCCTACCCCCTCATGTTCAGCACAGCAGAATACTAAAAAGCACTTTTTTTCTTTCTCACACATTCACACCCACCTGCTGTGTGATTAACTTACAAAAGTGACTGTTAGTTGTAGAGCCAGTTTTGTAAACCACAGAAGCAGTGTCTGATTGATTAAAAATTGGGAAGAGAATGCTTTATGCTTTCCCAGTTCTGTCCATTCTTCTGTAAATGCCAAGCAGAATGCAAAGAGGTAACACGGGTGTCCACAATTTTAGCCAGTAGCTGTGATGAAACTGTTGTGTTTTCTTTTTGTGGTCTTATCGTGGCTGGCTATGTAAATATTCCTTTCTAAGTTTTTATTATAGGAACATTTAATATTATTTCTGATAAAAACTTAACTAAATCGAATTAAAGTCATTGGATCCAATAAAAAAAAAAACATGACTGTGTATCAAGTCTCTTAAAATATCTGATAGATTGAACTGTTAGGGTTAATTTAGGTAGTAAAACGTCATGTACAAAAACATAATTATTTATAAATAAATTATATTTACTCAAATTAATAATTCATGATATTTGTAAAAAATATATATATATATATATTTTACTTTGAACCACATACTGTATATAAAAAAACCTTTTGGAGAATAATTAAGATGTTTGCCCCTTTTTTAAACCTCATGCCATTTTTAGAGTTATTACGTTTATATGCTGTAAATAAAAGTTTTTCGAAACTAACATGAACACGAGGTACATTGCGAAGAATTTTGCACATGTATTTAACACTTGATTTTAAAAAGATTTTTGCTGTTGTACTCAAACACAGTATGCCTCCAGTCACAAATATTACTAATATATAGCTGCACCATTCAGATAAACTGTTAGTATCCACACTCAAAAAAATGGTTTTGTGGCACTGTTCTTTTTACCCAAATATTTTGTTAAAGTAACACACAACACAGATATATTTATTTTACCTCCAAAACACCATTGTATTGCGTTTAATTAACTTAACCTTTATAATTTTCGACTATACTTAATTATCAATCCTTAAACTAATGTAAAGGGTTTAATTTCGCGATCCAAAAAAAAATAAAAAAACGATGTGCTGATTTCCAACATATTGGATGAAGATGACGTGCGAAGAAGGTAGAAAGTTGCATGGTGTCAGAGCTAGAAGTCAGACAGGTAAGAAAATATAAAGTTAATCTAAAGGCAAAGTCTTTAATTTCTGTTAGTATTTCGTAAAGTCTGTTCTGGGATGCTTTTATATTGCACAGAAGAAGAAAAAAATGTTGGCTGATTGTTCAAATTTCTTAATTCAAATGAGCTTAAGCAACACAATTGCTATACATTTTGTCCAAACTTAATTTGATTGTGTTCAATCTGCTTAAATATATGTACAATTTAAATTTACTTAATCCATTTGTGTTGGATTACATGAATGATTTGTGTTGTGACTGAAACTGGGCGGTGCTTGTTAGTTCCCAGCATGCTTTGCATATAGCTGAATTAAGAGAGAATAAATGTTGAAATTAAGTGTTATTTTATGTGTTTTTGACTAAATGAGAAAAGAGGAAGACTTTATAGTGTGTAATTGTGTTTAATGTTCAATTACATTGGAATTATTAGAACCATTTAAATTACAGTGGGTTACCATTGTGGAGAAGAGTGGAGCATGTGGTTAGTCTGTGGACTGATTCAAATGAGATAAATTCATATGGCTGAAGGAGCATATAGATTTTAGCATTTAATAGGTTATTAAATGCTATACTATAATAGCTATTCTATAGTTTAGAAGTTCAATTGAATAATCATGTGAATTAGGCTCACTTTATTCTTTCAATGCAGTTTTAAATAAAGCATGTTCACTAAACTGAACCAGTTTAAGTTACAGGGAAGCAATTCCATTGATTTGGTTGGACATTACTATTTTACATTGATTCTTTCTCATTCAGTTGTGTTGTCACAACACAAGGAGCTTACATAGATTTTAAAAAATCCATTAATGTTAATATAAAATAATTTACTTGTGTGGAACCATTGTCCATAATTAAATTGAGTAACTTTAAAGAGTATTTTTTTTGAGTGATTGTTTGAGTTGACTTTTTGAGTGAGTGATTGAGTGAATTTTTTTTCACATGATTATTCAATTGCATGTTCTCTGCAGAGACACCAAAATATTTTTGTGGTTAGATAAATGCAGTTATCACTCACATAATTTTTCGGATAACACTTTATTTCGATAGTCCGCACTTTAAACATTCTACTAACCATAAGTAACTTTGCAACTACATGTCAACTACCAGTCATTAGAGTCATTATCTGCTAACACTGCCCGCCCCCCAAAATGGCCGCCCACTTTGTGGGTCCTGGTGCGACCCAGTGGTCCCCCAACAGACATCCTACTGAATATAAGTAACAATGCAAGTCAACTTATTCTACTAACACTAACCCTAATCTAATACTCTATTAAGTTTCTTTTAGTTAGTAAAATGTCTATAGAGGACTTTGGAAATTAAGTGTAACCGAGATTTTATGGTAAATGGACTGCATTTATCTCTGAGAGACATCAATGAGTCTGTGATATTTTCAGAATGGTTTCTGTTCTTATGTAACCAGTTAGGTGTGCTGTGACTATTCTAACAGTTTAATCTCTTTTGCTTTTGACAGAACAATCAGGACAGGCCGGGCTACAGTCATCAATGTCCATCCAGGAGTGCCTAGATGGCCCAATGCTTGAGGACGAGGAGGGTGAGGAAGGCAGAGGGGTGGAGAGAGAGTCAGACAGAGACAGTGCGGTAGACAGCGCTCTGTCATCGGTGATATCAGATGGAGGGAGAACTGGAGAAAAAGAGGAAGGGATTGGGCTTTGCCTCCCAGGAGAAAAGTGAGTGCTTTTATTTTCGTTTACTTTTTATTATCGTTTTCTCAATATACATAAGGCTGAATTTATTGATTTGTAAAGGAATGTGTGAACGGAATAATAATTACTTTCTTAAGTGGGGAGAAAAAATCTACAGACAAAGCCTAAAGTGCACAAAAAAATCTCTCATTGCTGCAGGTTTAGTCAGATGTGTAATCGCTCCGAGACTTCTAATCAATCTACACATTCATCTGCCTCATTAAATGAGGAGCAGTTTGAGGACTATGGAGAAGGAGAGGATGGAGAATACACTCCTAGCAACCCCTGTCCAGACGATGAGATCCGCATTAATGGATGCTCAGATCTGGGCTCCTCTGTTTCCTCTAGGTAAGTGTGTCTATGTGTGTTTTTCTCTCTCTGACTGCCCCTAGGTCTGTTTTCAGAGGGATTAACTTTAAAATGAAAGTATAATTAGTTAATAAATCCAGATATCAGCCTTCATTACACAGGATTTCTTTCAGTAGCTGTATTAGTGGATAGAACGGTCTGACTGTGGGAAACTTCCTCACTCAAACAGCATATGATGCTTTTTAGTCGTGACACTATCCAAAATGGTTTTATTCATTTTTTAGCACAGAGTAGAAAGAATATTGTTTTGTTAACCAAATTGACTTCCTTTTATTTTAATTTTAATAATAAAAGGGGAAACATTTTACCCTTCCTGTCTGTTTAGCCATTATGTCTATTTTTTAACATATAAGGAAGTAGATGTTTGTTTGTAGAATATATTAAATGAAATGTAGTAAATATCAAATGAAAGAGAATCTACTGATTTTTAAGATGCATGTTCTGTCATCTAATATGCACTAATTTGATTGCAAATCAAGCTATAACCCAAAATTAAAATGTTGATTTTTCTATCTTTGGAAGTTCCAAAGAAAAAAATGTAATGAGGACAATGGGTCTCATTCACTAATCATGCGTACGCACAAATTTGTGCTAAAATGTGCGTACAAACGATTTTAAGAACAAATCACTATTCACCAAAAATTTCGTAATAAAATTTATTCTAAATTTACGAAAAAATATTGGAACAACTGAAAACGCACGTATGCAAAAAGCAATTACTCTATACAGCCTTATAATCATCTTAAGAAGTTAGCTATATTTCATCCTAACACGACTATAATTATATTGAAGTATGTTGCATTAATTGTATTATATAATCCATAAATAAAATTATTAAATAATACAATTTAATCTTAAATAGGCTACTTTCCATCATATACAGTTAGAGTAAGAAAAGCTGCGTTATAGCTTCAGCTGCGAGGTCTCTCTGAATAACACAGATACATGTACAGCTGGCTAATGAGAGTTCTGTATAAAAGGTGTTTATTGTGCGAATTGCACACTTGGCGTTGCTCGAGGATCTGGCGAGAGCGCGTCTGCAAACAGCGGTAAGTTTGACGAGAGTGATGAAAGGCTGTAAGGAAAGCGTGTGTGAAAAGCCCTTACATGGATATGGTTTGGGCGTGTTTTATGCAAATGACTAACCTGGTGCACGAGGCCACTCATTTACAATAGGCTACTCCGAATGCACTAACATCAGGGGTCTCATTTATAAAACTGTCCGTAGGATACTTACTAAAAGTGTACGTGCGCCCTAAAGCTAACAATGGTGTAAGCCCAAAAATATTCAGACTTATGAAACCGCTCGTACCCCAGGCCAGAACCTGCGCAAAATTCCCTTTATAAATCCAAGCCAGCGGAAGAATGTGCGCAGATGCGTCTCCACCCCGAAATAACCATATATGGAGCTTACAACGCCTAGTTTTACTATGCATATCCTTTTGCATATGCATTCATCTACCATGATACCATGTTTAACGGTACAAGACATTAGGAAAATATGAGATACTGTGCCGTCACATTACATTGCTAAAATAATATTGCTTTGAATAAATAAATCAAATGGTATAAAATACATTTCAGAAAACGTTTTTCTCAATCTTTTCCACTGGCCAAATAGTATTTTTAATTGTTTTATATTTTTAATGGAAACGGATAGGCCTTATTGTGCCTCGAAAATATTTTCTAAGACCATAAGTTCTGCTATTATCATGCGCTAAGAATTCCTTGCTGTAGTTAAAACATTAAAACACAGCATGCCACAGGAAAAGTGTTCAAAAGCGTCGCATCCACTAAAAATATTTCTATATTAGAATATATATATATATATATATATAAATTTTTTTTTTTTTTTTTTTTGTAAGTTCTCGGTAATGATTTAATGTAATTTACATCAAAATCACTTGAAATCCTATTCCTAACCCACTTACAGCCACTGAATTAGAAGCACTGAGATGAAAATTAAGCAATTTAATCATCTGTGGAACGGGCAGGACTCGAAAAACTCCAGCCAATCATTTCTAAGACCACCTAGAATCATTGGACAGTAAGTGCGTCAATCAAACGGTCGTACCATACCCCCATCCCCCTCGCGCGCGTGTCCCCTTGGTGCGCATACTCAAAGCTCGTGACCCAGTCACAGTAAGTGCAAGTCGCCCCGGTACAGAGTAAGTGCAATCTCGCGCATCTGAGTTTTGCAGATGCATGATTGCGTGTCCATGTTCTTCGAATGGGTGGAGTCAGGGCCAGCGTTGGAGGAAAGAAGGTAGGACCTTTTGAGTTGTGTATTTTCAAAATCTGCCGGCCGTTTTGCAAATCCCATACCCTACCTTTAAGTGCTTAAAGGGTTAGTTCACCCAAAAATGAAAATTATGTCATTAATGACTCACCCTCATGTTGTTCCAAGCCCGTAAGACCTCCGTTCATCTTCGGAACACAGTTTAAGATATTTTAGATTTAGTCCGAGAGTTTTCTGTCCCTCCATTGGAAATGTATACACGGTATACTGTCCTTGTCCAGAAAGGAAATAAAGACATCATCAAAGTAGTCCATGTGACATCAGTGGGTTAGTTAGAATTTTTTGAAGCATCGAAAATACATTTTGGTCCAAAAATAACAAAAACTACGACTTTATTCAGCATTGTTCTGTACGGTTCTGTTGTCATAATGAAGATTTAAAGTGGTTTTCCTTTATCTGCTGTCAGTCCCTCAGCTCACCATCGGTGTCGCCAAACTGCTCCGTCTCCAAAATATTCGTCCCGTCAAGTTTGTTTTTATAAATCACAATGCCTCTTTCAGTGCCTGTTTTGTGCGTACGCAACGGTTATGAATAAGCCCCCAGAACGATGTTAAGAACAAATTCATGTGCGTGTAAATGTGTTGTGAATTAGGCCGAGGTTTTTCATGAGAAGTTCTCCTGTGCGTACAAATATGAAATAACCCACAAAATTATTAGTGAATGAGACTCAATAGTTCTTTAGAAATATACTTGACTCAAAAACTATTGAGGGATGTTTGGATGGACATGATGATTCTATTGTGGAGAACATTGCACTTATGTTCTTATTTTGACCTTCACTCTCACTCCATCCAGTGCTGGTCAGACTCCTCGGAAGATGCGCCGCGCTGGTGACCAGATGGATGTGTTTTGCTCTCAGTGCTGTAAGAGGGTCAGTCTGCTCAATGACCTGGAGAATAGGCTGAAAAACCTCAAAACCAACAGGTACAACATTGACTATAGTTTACATTTGTTATGAAAGATATTAAATACTTTTTCATCCAGAGGGGGTTGTCATACACTGGTTGTACACTCATCCTAAGAAGACTTGGGATTAGAGTTAGCTCTTTGAAACTAAAGTTTAGTGGTTATGGACTTGTCTAGTTTCTCTTCAGTAATGTAAAAGGAGTGACCCCTCACATCTGGGAAATAAGCTTTTAGTGGCCTGGAATACACATTAGAGGCTCTCTGGGAGGATTAGAAGTTATTTGTTCTTCATTCTCTTCCCGGGGCCACAATAGACAATATTAAAGCGACAAGGTGATAGAAGCAGGGTTTTCCTCTAGGAGTTAATGTGAGTATATATGAGGGCTCTGATATCTTACTGCAGTCTCTCTGCACCACTAATGATTCGCTCTCTTTTCCATACATCATCCACCCCACCACTTTAGTGCCCATTAGAGCTTTATTAACACCTGCACACATCCACACTTTAATCTGTCTCTACGCATTCTTATTTTGCCGTCTCTCGGTGTCTCCTCTTCTTTCTTACTCACATCAACATCCACACATGAACAAACAGGCAAGCCCTTCTCAGGCTTTGGATACTGATGATTTGTTGAGAATCCGGAGGTACAACCAGATCTTCTCTTCTTTTCTTCATCACTGCTGGTTTCAAAGATTGTCAGTGAGTTTACTTTAACATTTTTCTCTTTTGAGAAGGCTTGTAATTAGCCACTCATATCTTAGCCTTTCAAAATAAAAGATGAAATAGAAATTAGATCAGATGGAACATGTTGTTCATGTTGTTTTGGGAAGAGGGCATCAGATAGAAGGGGAAGAAAGAGAAAAAGAGGGATAGAGAGGAGGAATGAAAGCTAAATGCTCTGTCAGGAGACTGCTTCAAGAAATGCATTAGTTCACATGTCATTCTGTCACTGCTGGAAAAAAGCTGTCGGCAATAAATCTATGTGTGCGTGTATGAACGGGAGAGAGTTTTGTTAATGAATTGTATTGTGTGCTTTACCATATAAATCTTTAATTCTTTGAAAACTCAATGTAGACTTTTTGTGAGCATTGGTAAGGTTGGAGGTATCTGAACTTGTGTCAAGGCCGACACTATTTTCAAATATGTTGTGAGTGAGCCTGGGTTAAGTGCAATGTCCAAAAATGGAATAAAGCCTATGACACTGTTCACTGATAAGGTACAATTTGGTTCCCCATTATTGTTTAAAAGGTGCACAAATACCATGTTTTTGTTTTGAGATCTATTAACTAGCATGTCTGTATTTTGATCTGTCCCACATCAGATTACTTGACCATCTTGACTGTATCCTATAATTGAAATCATATACAATGTGTTGAATTACTATTCAATTATTTGTTGTAAAAATCTATATTTAATTATTTTATTAGAAAGAATGTAATGTTTAACTGATTTAAAAGAAAGTAACATAATTTGGGAAGAAGTAAATCTTTAACAATGATTTTCTTAATTTGTACACAATTGTAGAATTGGCTGCATTTGTCAAGGTCAACCATTCAATTGTTAATATAAAAAAAAATTGCAAGCCAACCCTCATATGTACATGTATGGTGTTTTACTGAACAGTTGTTAAAAAAAGGAAAAAAAGTTTTCATCAATATCAAACAGAGACTTATACTATATGATTAATCTATGTTGATGTTTTTTGTTCTTTTTCCAGCCCGAACAGAAAGATCTCCAGCACTGCATTTGGAAGGTAGGTCACTCCATATCACTCTGCTCAGTGTTTGTTTGTGCTGCTGTTAATCATTATCGTGTTTCCATCTCCCTCACTGCTATGACTGTGAGCACCACCTGTGGTTTAATAAGTGAATATCAATATAATATGAATTTGTGGAGTCATATCATCAATATTAATCTGAAATTAATCACGAGGTGAAGACAATTTGGGAAGCGGAGATGAGAATATGAACGTCAATTCTAATCGAATTATTTGAGTGAAATTGTAGACTCCAAAGTTAAGTAAACTGAAGATTTCACAATAGAGGAAAAAAAACAGAGCCGTTGAGCATTGCATTTATATGTGCTCCAGACCAGTATCTGCAAAGATCTTTGGTAACCCAACAACCCCTCAGTAAAGTCACATCAAATCAGAAATTTGTTCCTCATATCAACACAAAGAAATATTGGGTGAAATCTGTTATTTGTGATAATTAGAATACCAATTGCTTCCTGTTTATGTTTGTAAAATTAAATACAGTGTCTCTCCTAAGTCTGAATCCTGTTGAAAATGATTCTATTTTACATTATCTATTTAAAAAAAGATTTCTGTTCATAAAATTATATTATCAGCATAACAAGTTTAGCGAAAATTTGAATTGAATTATATGACGTTATTTAAAATGTTTCCTAATCCTAAAACTTTATTTTAAAACTTAAAAAAAAAAAAAAAAAAAAAAAAAAAAAAAAAAAAGCTTCTCAATGAGATTCCAGACTAAGAACATTACTGTTTGTGACAAATTTAGGGTTATATTAAGCTATAGTTGATTATTGTGTGTATATATATATATATATATATATATATATATATATATATATATATCCTACTTTATATTTAAACTATATATATATATATATATATTAGTTTAAATATAAAGTAGGATATGTATATATATATATATATCCTACTTTATTATTTAAACTATCAAGTGTGTGTGTATATATATATATATATATAATCAATTAATGCATACATTTTCGGTCAACAACTTGTGTGTGTGTGTGTATATATATATATCGATTATCGATGCACCTCTTGATGGAAATAACATCACAACAATTATTTCCATCAAGAGGTGCATCAATTTTTGGTCAAGATCTTGTATTAACAATGCAAGAGTCGAGCACTTTGTAAAGTCTACACTCCAGCACATCTCAAAGACTTTCAAAGAATTTAAGATGCCAATCTCAGAGATGCCAATTCATGCGTGAAAATGATTCTTCATGTTCCCTCCCAATCATTCTTTTACAATTTGAGCCTGATGAATCTTGATTTTGTCATCCTGGCCAATATGACCTTGATGTGTCTTCCTACATGGTTGTTTAAGAAATAAAAAGCTACACACTCCATCAAGTAGAACTGTTCCCAAACATTGAGCATTAAGCATTTGCCCATTTAAATCCAAACAGTGACTGTTGTTTTTTTTTGGCCGGGCAGTGTGTGTGTATATATATATATATATATGTATGTGATCTAGACAGTTCTCTTGGGATTTAATTGTAAGAATCTGATCAAATGTTGCATGGGAGTGTAAACGCTGGGTGGCAAAAATTGTGTGGGTGAATGGCAGTTTTTCTTGTCCCTTTGGCAACCAGTCTCCTACTCTAAATCACAGTGACAAGATGAAAATGGCCTGCCACAGCTGACCTGAGTGCAAGAGAGAGAGAAAAAGCAGAGCTAGAGAGGGAGAGACCAATGTGTGTAATTTGTATAATGTATTTTCATGTGTGAAGTCATTGCTTTAACGACAATGACAGAAATAAAACAAAGTGACAACCAAGACCTGACTCTGCAGAAGTGTGAATGTGTATTTGCGTACACACAAGTTAACGGCTCTCAGAGCCTAATGCAAGTGGGACAAGAGAATAGTGTTCATGCCTGCGCATGCGCATGTGTCTTTTAGACGAGTACTTTTTGGTTCTGTGTGGGTGGGTGGACTGGATCGGGCACTGCTCCAGCAGCTCTCACAATGCCTCTGCTGGCCAGTGCCTTCTCTCGCTCGTAACCGCAGTGCTCCTAAAGATGCACAGGCATTGAATGTAGATGCATAGAACGGATGGGTGCAGTGATGCAGCATGGGTAGCGTAGTTTGCAAGTAATTGATGCTGCAGTGTAGTCCAATCCATCCATAGAACTGAGCAGAGAGGTAAGTGGGACGTTCCTCTTGCAAAATGTAGCTGTCAGCATTGATCTGAATGCTGAGGGTACACAAAATGAACTGGTGTTTTGTGTGATAAATCAAAATATAATTGCCTTATGTCTTATTGCGATGCATGATTAAATTGTTCCTGTTTTTGTTTTGTGTGCATGTGGGTCCAACAGGCAGCTGTTCCACAACAGTAACCTCAGCAGTAGTCACGGCAGCACAGAGGATTTGTTCAATGACAGCATTGACTCCTGTGAACTAGACATTACTGAGAAGGTACAATCTCCTCACAGCACACTCATCTACTTCCTGATCATAGACCTGTGAAAACCGCATCACCAATGCAGACTATCTTTGGAGTGTCTTTTTAAACGCACGCTTAGTACTGATCTCTGCTCAGGAAATCACATCCGTATATGTGTAAGCTTCTTAATGCAGGGGGTCAAATGGGTCCAGGTGATACTGATACTTAAATTGGATTTTGTCTGTATCTGGGTGTTTCTTCAACTTTGTGCACTTTTATGTCCCATGGTTTGATTTAATGAACACATTTCAGAACTTCTCTTTTTGTTGCCAAAACATTTTTTTTTCTGCTTTTCAATTGCGTTTATGTGCATAAATGTTTAGTATTTTATTAAACAAATTGCCATTTAAGGAAATAAAGAAAAAGAAAGGTCCTATTGTGTTTGTGAAGTAATCAATTTAAACTATTTGTAAATAAATGTTTTATTTTAAAGTATGCACACATTACCGTTCACTGAAGACCGTTCCTACGCGACATTAGTTAACAGTGAAAGAATGCCTTGTAAAATGTAAGTATATAAACGTTTAATATTTGACAACTGTTTTGAATTGAAAATGTGCTATCATTTCCATGATTCATTCTAACTGAATATGACGGTGCAAGAAACGTTTTGCGTTTTCGACTTTCAGATTAAGAATGAAGCCCCGCCGCCTTTAATAATTTTGGCGATGCGTAATGGAGCGCTACAGAGCAGTATCAAGAATATCATATACAATGCAGTGAAATATATCTTATTTGCATCTATAGTTTATTGGCTATAATGACAAGATCGCTAAAGTGTAGAACGCGCAAAACAGATCTTCAGCGCAGCGACTCTTTTAAACGCCTCTGATTGGCCGTTCCGTTCAACAGACGTCTGTGATTGGCTACAATGCTCAATACTGCAAAAGCACGTTGCAAGTACCTTTGATATAAAGGGAGAAAATATAAATCTAATCCTGTAAAATGCTCTTGTCACCATTAGCTAAACGCGGACGCTGTAATCGTATTCACAATTATTTTTCAGATTAATTTTTAAGATCTATAAGAAAGACAAGGTAACAAAACATTCTGGGCTTTACTAAAAACCAGATCTGTTGAAAAACTTCTGTGGCTCTGCTAAAAACATACAAAAGCCCACCACTAGCGCTGCCCATGATCATTTTCACCACAGAATGCTATTAAATACAGTATATAACATATAAGTACATAATTCAAGGTACAAGGCAAGTAAAGTTGTTGTGGAAATCGTGGATTATGTTGACACACACAGACACAGACGCACAGACAGAGTGAGAGAGAGAATTCAGAGTAGCCTAGAGTTTATTTTCTAAATGTCTACAGGGCCAAATGTGCTCATAGTTGAAAAACACCTGTTTCTTATATTTATTTAAAACCGGATCAATACAAGTTTACACGCAACACTTTTAAAACCATTAACATGTACTGTCTGTTGTTGCAAAACTTTTTTCATGGTCGTGCTGATAGTCATTCAGACAAGACTGGTTCAGAAGCAGCCACTAATAGTGAGATTTACATTCATTGTTGTTTCCTACACAGGTGAGTTACTTGGACAAGAAAGTGACAGAGCTGGAAAATGAGATTCTGATGAACGGGGATGTAAAGTCCAAGCTGAAACAGGAAAACATACAGTTGGTCCACAGGTGAATTGCTACTCAAGGTTCACCCACCCACACAAAGTTCATTTCAATGGAACTATGTTATATGGATATGTATTTGCATTCTTGTCTCTTTAAAGAGCAGATTACTTCCGCTAGCAAAGCGTTCTATGAAAATAGTCTTCGCAAAAGTTTTGCATTTGCTAAATGCCAAAAGGTCAAAACGGGTCTCAGCAGGTCTGTCAAAGATTCATGTTAATGTTGAGGACTGTGCTTGAGCAGGATTCACGAATTGGAGGAGCAGCTAAAAGACCAGGAGACCAGAGCAGAAAACATGATGGAGGAGGAGCTCAGGAGACACCGAGAGGCCTACAGTCGACTGGAGAAAGACAAGAACACACAGATAGAGCTGCTTACAAATCGGTGAGGGACAAAAATAACATTGCAGCACAATGTGAATTGTAATTACAAAACTGCAATTTTTTTTCTTAAGAATTTCGAGTAAAAATATCCAAATATCTTTGAAACAAGATCAATTTACATAAATCTAACTAAAAACTCAGTGAGGTTTAAGTTTGGAATAATTAAGTCTCTTATGCCCACCAAGGGCATATTTATTTGATTTAAAAATACAAAAAAAAAAACACGTAATATTGTGAAATATTATTACAATTTAAACAAACTGTTTTCTATTTTAATACATTTAAAAAAAAAAAAAAAAATTCCTGTGATGGCAAATCCGAATTTTCAGCATCATTGCTCCAGTCTTCAGTCACATGATCCTTCAGAAATCATTCTAATATGCTGATTTGGTGCTTGGTTATCAATTATTATTGGTACTCAATTAATAATGGTTCTTATTATCAATGCTAAAAATAGTTAAGCATAAACTTTTAAAAATATTTTTGTAGAAATCGTGATCAATTTTTTTAAATCTTATATACACCAAACTTTTTAATTGTAGTGTATCGAGGTTTCCACAAACATATTAAGCAGCACAATTGCCATCACAGGATTAAATTACACTTAAAAAATATATAAAATAGTTATTTTAAATTTTATTTTTAAATGTATTTCATAATAAATATATATAATTTATATTATTTCACATTTTTAACCAGTAGTGTGACTTAGAAAATAAGAAGATAAAACTATTTGCCTGTACTATAGGGTAACACATAGATTTATAGAAATTTGCTTCTAAAGTAAATGTATAAAGAATACAGATTAATGCTAATATTTTCGTCATGCAGTAAATACAATGCTTAATTTTAAATGATTTTTCATACTGTACCCAATGTCCCGCTATTTCAGCTTTTTTAACTTCTTCCCCATTAGTGTTTTTTTTTTTTAAGTTGCCAGTCACCGCCAGCATTTTTGATCATTTTCACAACATTTTCATGGTCCCCAGAATACTTTGTTGAATGAACATGTGAACATGCAATATATCAAAAGAAAGAACAGAGCCTCTGCTTTTAAATAAAATAAACCTTGCACAGTCCTATAGCTCATCCTGGGTCGAAATTTCATTCAGTAAAATTTGGCAGTTTTGATTTATATGCCGTTTAATGTTGATGATCGCTTTATTTTACTTATGCATGTGCTTACATGATATCGCTTATTTCTGCTTCTTTTTTACACGCCTTTTTATCAGGAGATTTAGTACTCTTTCAGGTGTCATAGCGCACCCTATGGTATAACAGTGAAAACTCGGAAAGCCGGAAATTTGCGTAAATGGCAGGGGAACGTTGTCTCAAATGATGGAAATTTCCATCAATGGCAGGGGAAGAGTTAAACACTCTTCCTTGGAGGTCTTCCAGTATTGGTGTATATTCCAGTATACAGTGCACTTATGAAGCCGTCTCAGATGGTCCTTCATAAGGGTGTTCGAGAGAAAAGCAACACAGTTAAGCCACTGAAGGGAGCTTTACATTATATCTAGAAACCTGAGATTTTGATTCACAGAGCTATTGTGCAGTGGACACTTATAGCATCAGTAGTATGATGGAAGGCTTCTTTTCTTTTTTCTTTTTTCTACCGGCAGACTGCATCATCTAGAGGAGGAAAATGGAGAGATGGCAATGAATATGATCAGACTAAAATCCCAGACAGATAAACTGGATGAGGTGGGACAGTTTTACTATACATATTCTTGACCATTTTTATTTAGGTTGAAGGAAATGTAAATGAGGATGAATGAATGCTTGTAATGGTACTGCTTTATTAACTGCTTTATTTTTTTTTGTTCCAAATGAACAGAATTTAAATAATGATTTAATATATCATCAATCCTTCTACTAAAATGGTTTCGCAGAAAATTGCGTATATGGTGTGGGAGTGGTATAGTTTAGATGTCACAACGACCAAGAAGGTTGACATATGAAGCAGCTAAAGCTCAAACCAGTTTTAAAAACGCATAGCAGAGGAGAGTCTGCTGGCAAAAAGAGAATACGACCGAGCTCACAATAAAATGAGAATCAGCATTGACTTGGCTTTTCGGAGATGGCGAGAACTGAGGGATTTCAAATGTTGTAAAAAAAAAAACTACCCGGAGATGGCATTTTTATTACTCAACAGGTAAGTAAGGTATTTTATTGAACAGATAAATTGCCATATGTAGCTCTAACAGAGTTCATTGTAAAGCATTATCCATTGTGAAGGGTCATTTCATTTATGGGTTGTTGTAGCACTGTGCTGGCATTTATTTTCAAGGAAGTACCGTGTCTATTAATGGGTATAGCTACAGTAATGTATTAAGCTAGTCATTCAGTTTAAAATCATTTCCATCTAAACTGGTTATAACGCTTAAGCCTTGTAGAGTGAGCGTTTTATGAGCAGAAGGATTTTTAGCTATGAGTAGGAACCATTTTCATCCGCAGTCGCAAAGAGCTGAAGCACAACCGAAACAATGTCCTTTCGTAAAATGCATGCATTTTTTTTTTATCCGCTAGAGGACCAAAAGTTACATAGTGTACCTTTAAATGTTTAGAACAAAATTAGTTTCTAACACATGTTCTGGCTTGTAAAGCCATCTGCAGTTCTTACAACATTCTTGTATGTTGGTTAGAATTTGACCAGTTTGATCAAAAAGGGTTTGCCAACTAAATGCCAACTTACTATTATATTAGATTTATTTTTAATTGTTTTGTTCAGAGAGCTAAAAAAAAAAGACATAATAGGGATCTTAAATAAATGACAAGTAATTGTCCAAATTGACTGTACACCTGCTTAAATGTCCTGTTTGTGTTTGTGAAGGAGAGGCAGCGGATGACAGATAAGCTGGAGGATACGAGCCTGCGGTTGAAGGATGAGATGGATCTGTACAAGAAGATGATGGACAAGCTACGACAGAATAGAAATGAGTTTAAGAAGGAAAGAGATACCATGCAGGAGGTAAGACCATGTTCTAAAATGTGCTTATTTTTTGACACTAGTTAAAACGGACATACTAAATAGCCTATTAAGGCGGAAATGTCTTTATTATAATGATTTGAGAACTATGACCATACCGTGCAATCATTTAGTATTTTTTACGAATATTTTTCATATACGAATTTTGGCAACTTTTGATTTATAGAAAATCCCATAGAAACTTATGTAAAGATTAAGATAATGGTGATTTTGTCCACTGGTCACTAAAGTAAATTTAGAGTAAACGATGTAAAAATGGCAGTGATTTAAACAATCGTTTATTCAGCACGTTATTCAGCAAGTTGACAAAAGCTCTTCCTAATCTTTTATGCCAGTTGTTTTTTAAAATGTATATAGTCACCCAATTATATTTACTGATAGATAAAGGGGCAGAGCCTTGGCCAGCTTTAGTTGCACTCAACGGGTTGCATAACCTATCTAAAAAACACAAATTAAACCGTCTAAATGTGCAAACATACAGGTCAAATGGAGATACATTTACACAAACTGTATGAAGACTCAGGGAGCATATTCTATTGAGAATTGCTAGTATATTGAAATTAATAGATTCATTTAGTTCAGAATTATTCTGCCTATAGACTATACAGCAATCCTGTCCTTGACTACATAAAACAGAAGTGTTTTCAGTTCAGTAGCTTGGTGCTTTTGAAGTGCTTTTAAAAGTGTATTTTCTGTTCAGCTGATTGAAGACCTTAGGCGAGAGCTGGAGCACCTCCAAGTGTACAAGCTGGAGGCAGAACGAATGGGGCGTGTTCGCAGATCTTCCATTAGCCTATCAGAATACAGCACTCGAACACGTGAGAGTGAGTTGGAACAGGAGGTCAAGAGACTAAAACAGGTGAGAGAGATGGAAAGCTGGTAACTCGATCTCTCAGCATGTATATTTCCTATGGCCTTGACTATAGTCCCATAGTCAAATCTTTGACAAAATGTCATGAGTACAAATGTTTTCACATGAAACTATGCCTACCGTTATAAAAACACATTTAAGGAATTATTTACTTTTATTTACTTATTTACGATTGTTTCCTCCAGTAAAGGCTGTGAACTCCATTCCCTTCAGGCAGTCTCAACTTTTTGTTTTAAAATGAATAATAAAAAAAATAAACTATGGAAGCTTACCACAGAATAAAAAATAAAAAGGGGAATTGCGACTTTTTATCTCCCAAATCTGACTTTTTTCCTCTCAATTTTGAGATTATATCTTCTTTTTGCAATTGTGAGAAAAAAATCAGAACTGCAAGATATAAACTTGCAATTGCGAGGAAAAAAGTCAGAATTTGCGAGATATAAACTCATGATTGCTAGAAAAAAGTCAGAATTACGTGAAATCTTGCAATTGCGTGTTATAAAGTCAGAACTGCAAAAAAATGTTTGATTCGCGTGATAGTCGCAATTTTATGTAATAAAGTCATAATGGCAAGAAAAAGTCAGATTTGCGAGTTTATACGCACGCACGCACGCAGAGAGAGAGAAAGAGAGGAAAGTTTCAGAGTGCACAAACACAGAATTGATTCCTCTTTCGTGTTTCCTTGCGCTTGAACAGATACATACTTGAGACAAATATTTGTACAATTTTGTTTGTATTCTCGCGGTTATGTCGTAAATGAACAGCTGAGAAAGATACTGGATGTTGTGTCGATATATATATTCGGTCCGTGCTTTCAGTCTTCAAGTGACCGCAGCCTAATATTCCTGCTGCTGCCTGTGTCATTAATGTTAATAAAACAACAAAATACAGCTTTAACAATGATTAATCTATATTTTATTTCTACATTGAACACATAGTGTCATTTTACATTTAGGCCTAATTATAAGATTTCTGTACCTGCATATACTGTTAGACTTTGTTACTTTGTATATAGCTTTCATCTATGCTTGTAATTTGTGTATTTGTTCTTATTTTAATACTGACTGTTCATTTGTCTTTAAGAATTTTTTTACTTTAGTTGTTAGTCTGGTAGTTTTTGCTGGGGTATTGAAGTACTTAAAGTGAGCTAATAGTAATAAATGAATAGCAGCCCCACCCATTTATATATATATATATAATTGTATTTTTTTTGCTTATCCGAAAAAATTATCCGATCCGTTACTCAAACCGTAAATGATCTGAACCGTGAGTTTTGTGATCCGTTGCACCACTAACTGTGAGATATAAGCTCACAATTGCGAGAATTTTTCAAAATTGTGAGAGAAACGTTGCAGTTATCTCAATTTTTTTTCATTTTGTGGTGGAAACAAGCTTCCATAAAAAACAGTGATCCCAAAATGAATTCTTTTTGTCTTTTTCTGTCTCTTATTTCATCTTTTTTACTGTGTGTATATGCAGAGGAGTGTTTCCAAGGACATGCCCTTTGACCTCCAGCAGCTTGTGTCTGCTCGGGCACGACTCTTTCCGAGTCTGATGGTAAACTGTAATTCCTGTGCAGACTTAATTTCATCCAAATAACCACTAATATGTTCATTCATAAGAAGTGTATTTTCAAATTATCTGTCAGGCTGCCGTTTCTTCTCACCTAACATCTAATATAGGTTTTTTTTTTTTGGCTGTAGATTTTGTAGCTCCATGTTGCTGTCAAAGGAAGAGGATAACTAGACAATATCACAAAAGTTCTGTTGTACTGAATATCAGTAAATCACCTCGTGCCTAAAGCAGAATCACAGGGCATGTTGCTCAAAGCTTTCTGTTTTCACACCACTCTAATTTTCCTTTTCCAGCTCCCCATTGATGCTCCAACCTTTAAAAAAAAACACTCATCACCCATGCAAAATCACACATCTCAGTTTAGGTACTCTGGAGTGATATAGATAGTGAAATATCCCACTGCTATTATACTCAGTATGAGCACTCAGACACTGCTTGGAGGGCTAGAACTAAATGTGTTAACTAATACAGCCAATGCTGTTGCATCATTGTGAAAATAAAGATTTAGTAGTATTACATTTGGTGTATGTCTGTTATAAGAATGGGATCTGAAAATTCTTCCAATCTACATTCATTGCGTAATCATCTCAATCCAGATTCTTCATCTGCAGATTACTGCTTTCTGTTTGCCAGCAGAAGCTGGTCTAACCAACTTCTCTTGTTTCAGTCACAACTAGGCCACAATAAAAAGGAAAAGCAAGATGACTCTTGGACCATCTTTCTGGGGTAATTGTAACTCCTCTTTAATTTCTATCACAGGAGAACCAAAAACTGAGAGAACAGAATGAAGATCTAAATGGTCAGCTTCTCAGTCTGAGCCTCCATGAGGCCAAAAACCTGTTTGCCACTCAGACAAAAGCGCAGTCTCTGGCCATGGAGATTGATCATGCCTCCCGTGACCAGGTAAGAGAAGTGCTTGACCTTGATCTGCTGATAAAAGTCAAACAAGAGGAACTTAATGTGTACGTCTGAGCAAGAGAACAATATGAAGCATTTTTGTTAGTTGTTTTCTGGATCATTCTCTAAAAAGGACCTCTAGTCCAATATACTGTAAACAATTGAAATTAATTCTGTGAGAATAGTTCAACTTAAAAGGAACATTATGATTTACTCACCCTCATGTCATTCCAAACCTGAATGACTTTGAGGAACACAAAAGGAGAAATAAAGCAGAATTTGTGGAACAAACCTTGTTTTTTTGGGGTTTTTTTTAAGCCATTTCATAGCTTTGTGTGATGAACACAAGCCCTCCTCAGTTTTATCAACATTTGGTGTTTTTCAAACTTTTTATATTTTTGGTGACCTGTCAAAAATCATTCTATAACTTTTGATTCCCACAGTTGATGGAAGCCCTAAAAGAACAAGAGGAGATCAATTTCCGTCTCAGGCAATACATGGACAAGATCATTTTATCCATTCTGGACCACAACCCATCTATTCTGGAAATCAAAACCTAAAAGCCTGTCATAAGCGGTTTAGAAACTTAACAGAGGACCTAGAGCTCCCCCTGAGGTCGCACTGAACCTCAAATGACGTGTGCCTCTGAATGCACAGTAACTACAATGTGCTGGTGTTTTGTGCACCTATCTCATGTTACAAAAATCTAAAATATACTGGTGAAATATTCATGCACATTTAAAGGGCATTTTTGCTGCTCTGTACGACACAAGGGAGTTTTCACTGGAATGGCATTATGGGTACTGAATTGCACCAACTAATATGTGAATATTTTAGCACTGGGTGTTCACGCAGTGTATTGTGTTATATGGATGATTGATGCTTGCTGAGTTTGCACTGGAATGTGATGAGAAAGGGTTATTGATTAAAAAGAAAAATATTTGATGGCCATCAGAGCTTGTCCATTCAGAGTTGCGATATATGATGAGAGGAAAGACATTTTTGTAGGTGCATATGTAAGAATTTTGTTGTATGGCGTGTGGAGGAAAGGTAAGGAGAGACAAATGAGAAGAATAAAGGAGAGGTAATCGGAGCTGGAACTGGAACTTGATAACACTGCCTGTTGTAAAAGAAATCCATTTTGGATGAGGGGAATGCTCTAGTCTGCGTTTGCAATGTAAGTTTGAGATGTTTATTCTGACATTAAGTTGTATGTGCTTCAAAAAGGAGTCAAAATGCAGGAGGCTGAATGTAAACTGTCAATGTGAATGAATGTACCAAACAAGTAGTATTTCAGGTTATTTACAGGCATAATAGTTTAAGACCTGTCTGTTCATCAGCTGAATTATGTTCTTAATGGCCTTAAAAGGAACTTGCACTTGTTCTTCCAAACTAAAATATTTAATAATTTCTGATGCACCTGAAAATGCATCATGAGATGATCTGATGCATCATCTCATAATTTTCTATAATCTGCAAATGCGATGGGTAATGTGTTGATCTAGGCCTACATTTTTGGGTATATTATGCAATCCTGAAAATGTTATTGTACACATTTTCTCATCATGTCTCCCTTTTCACTCACTAGTAGACCTATTTTTTTGTTCTGTCACACATTAAATAATTACTAAGCTACATTACACTTTATACTTGCTGTGTGTGGGATTTTAGCAACTTGTAAATTATGTAAAAAAAACAACAACAAAAAAAACTTTTTTACTCTGTGCCACTCATTGCTTTTACATTATCTCTAACTTTATTTTGTAAATACTTTAGGCATGGAAACCATGACTACTATCTGATTATTTCTCATTCTCTTTATATTTCTAAACGAGGTGCTGGAAAAAAAGGCAGTATTAGGTTTGCTTTATGATGGCAGACTGGGTCAATGACTCATGATGTCACAACATGCTGAATGGAAAAACACACACTTTAATCCAGGAAGGGTTATAGGTTCACTTGCACAAAATGTATACTCAGTTGAATAATAGACTGGTCTGAAATGCCTTAGCGATACTTATGACTGTAATGAGCTTATTTCTCTTTCAGATGTCTATTAGTCTCTATGATCAAGATGTGCATACAGGCTTTTTAGTTTTGCATGCCAGGAGTTACTGAATTGTAACATGAGAAATTAACAGACTGATATTTTAAAATAAAACAATATAGAAATCCATTTGTGACTGAAAAGGTTTGGTACAAAGTCCCTTTAAGTAAATAAAGTCTTTGGTTTGTATACAGTGCATGCAGCATGAACCTGTATTCAAGACTGGTGCAAAAAGAATCAGCAGACAATGAGAATTTATGAATCTCATAAGTGGTGAACATGTAAAGAAAACAAGAGATACAGGTTAGATCATGCACATGATCCAATGTAGCCTATATATTCCAATAAAAACTAGGAAAAGCAAAGGATTAAAAAACAGGTGTTATAATATATGGTAAACATATGCAATATTTAGGATGGTTAAATGAATATGAGAAATCTGCAATTAATTAAGTCAAGTTACTTCAATTATTTAATTATCGCACATTCGCGCTAGTTTTACCGGAGTGAAAACTGGACCAGATTGAACACCCGCATAAGCATCTTTTTTTTTATTGAGAAAGACAAATTTACATACCATTGTATAAACAATATTAACAATTTACAATTCTCAAAAGGCAGACGTAGTTGCAAATTACAATAAATAACAGCAATGAAGTTTCAAATCAAATATACAATCATGAAGGCAAGGAAAAGAAAATAATTAAATGAATATAAAAAAGTAAAAATAAATAAAATAATAATGTTCAAATTATTGAAAGAACAACATTCAAAGTAGGTTATTGCAAGGGGTAGCAGGGTACATATAGATCATTGAAGAAATTGCCTACTGTAGTAGCTTTTTCATTTGAAAGGGTACAAAGAGAAGTAGCAAAAGCTTTGTAAATTAGTCAAATGAGGAAAGGATGGAGGGGTTTTCAAAAATCTGCATTTATGACTTATTTAGCAAATTCAAAAAGGTTATTGACCAAGTAGTGTTGTGAACAATCTTTCTTCAGTACACCAAAATTAATTTGTTTGTATTCAAGGGGATTCACACTTGTAATAATATATGACATTTTACTGTACAATTGAGACCAAAACAACTTTGAAAAATTACAATAAAAGAAAATATGCTCAGTGGTTTCAATATCAGTTTCACAAAATTGACAAGAGTTTTCTCCGATATCAAATTTTGAATTAAGGAATTATTTAGATGGGCATGTGTCATTTATTATTTTAAAATGAAGTTCTTACACTTTAGGGAGACTTGGAAAGGTATAACTCATTCTCATTTCCTTCACCTCTTTCGGGTTAAAATCTTTGAAAATATAGTAACTTTTAATTATATTTGGATGAAGTCTATCGATGAAGACACTTATCATATATTTGTTGTTGCATTTATAATCTCTAATAGATAATTCACCCAGACAAGGACATGGGAGAGAGAATGTCACAGAGTAGTGTGAAAGAATCCCTTTTACCAATAATACCATGTTTTTTTGGTATGGCATTTACAACTGTATAAAACTCTTTAGGGTGACATACAAATCCATGTTTTAAACAAAAATCATTGTAATTGAGAACATTACCATAGTTGTCCAATAGGGAATTTTTTTGTTATATTGAACCCAGTTTTCATAAAATAAAGATTTGTTGTGGTGAGGAATAAAACCATTGTTCCAAATAAAAATTTTGTGTGGATTAAAATTGTGAGAAAATGCTCATTTCCAACATAAGAGAACTTGTTGATAGAATGCAGACCATTTAAGAGGTAATTTGGACAACTCAAAGTCACATCTAATCAAAAATGGCAGCCTACTTTCCCAAATATTGAAGAAGAGACCGTAAACCATACGCTGTTTGTATCTTAAGATCTTAACCATTGAGTTTTAAAAAACTATTCATTGTTTCTAAGTCAATAACATTTAACCCCCCGTCTTTGTAATTGTGAACTAAATCATTTTTGTTAATATAGTGATGCTTATTTTTCCAAATAAAGTTAAATATTGCAGTGTTACAATCTTTTAGTAAGTGAGGTGGGATAGCTAGCGAGGAGGCTGGACAAACAAACAGTAATTACATTTTAGTTAAAACTGTTCCAAAATTGAGATATCTCTTTGTATCCAGTTATTGAGAATAATCTTTGCTTTTGAAAAATGTTTTGCTAAGTTTTCTTGGACGCTTTGATTGCTATCTCTAGTAATAATTATCTAAGTACTTAAGTATTTACGGATGTTTTTATCGGTATGTTACATAAAGAGTCGTAATTTGCCGATATGAATTGCAAATAACTCACATTTATTTATACTTAAGTATAAGCCTGATGCTTTGGAGAAGAGATTAATTAGTTGGATGGCGTTATCAATTTGATATTGGTCCTTTAAAAAGATCACCGTATCATCAGCTAATTGACTAATACCAATTTGTTTTACAAACACATTCAGTTTGCTGTTTTTCAAGTTGCTGTTTTTATCTATCAAGATAGCAAGTATTTTTACTGTGAAGATAAATAGAAATGGGGAAATGGTACATCCTTGTCTTATTCCTTGTGAAATGTTGAATCTTTGGGATGTTCCAAATGAAAGTGAGATAGAGCTATTGATGTCTTTATATAACATTTTTATAAAATAAATAAATTTACTGCCAAAACCATTAATCTGATGTTATATGTATTGATCTGCCTTTTATGAAACCAGACTGTGATTCACTAATTGTTTGATTTAAGTTTTTCTTGAGTCTATTGGAAAATATAGGAGCTATAATTTTATAATCACAGTTGAGTAGAGTGATGGGGCGAAGGTTATCTATATGTCGTGCTTTTTTACCTGGTTTGGGGATGAGAGTAATTCAACCTTGTTTCATAATCGAAGTCAAAGTGAATTATTTTGGATACATTCGTGAAAGGCTTGAAACAATAGTTCTCTCAAAATCAAATCCTTCCTAAAGAATTTATACAATTCAGAATTAAGGCAATCAGGGACTGGAGATTTCCCTGAAGATAATTTATCTATTGCTTTATCTAATTCCTCTATTTTAATGTCAGTCTCTAAATTCCTGGTCTAGCTGCGGTATGCTAGTGTATATTAGCAAAGAGAGTCTTGCAGTCAGATGCAGAGAAGGATGAGCTATACAAGGAACTATAGAATTGAAAAATCTCTGAGGAAATAATTTTAGGCCAGGTATTTATAACTCCATTCACATAAAGAGAATTTATGGCATTTTTCTCCTGTCGCCTTTTTTCAAGTCTACAAAAATAATTATTACTTTTTTCCCCCTTTTCTATCCATCTTGCTCTGGACCTTACATATGCTCCTTTAGCTTTTTGAATATATAAATCGTCAATTTTAGATAGCTAGGATAAAATTTGTAATTTAGTTGCATTGTCCATTTCACTTTTATTACATAGATAGTTTCATTCTCTTGTTAATTCTAGCTCCAATTGTGTTCTGGCCTTACTTAATTTTTACTAAATTGTATAGAAAATTCCCGAATCTTGGGCGGAAAGCGATCTAATGCTTCATCCATAACCATGTTAAAATCTCCTCCTATAATAATATTATCAGTAGGATACACAAGTTTCAATTCAAACAGAGAATCAGAAATTTCAGGCAGTAATTTGTTGTTTAAGGGAACATTATTGTAACCATACACATTAAATAAAATAAACAAAACATTGTTAATGTTTATAACAACTGAAATCCAGTGGCCGCCCATTTGAATCTGTCTTTATCTTTATGATTTTGCCTTGTAGGTTGTTGAACAGTATTGCCACTCCTGCAGAATGTGTAGAAGCATGGCTGAAGATTTTTTTGTCCCCCCATTGACTGGTCCAGAACTTCACGTCATCATCAGGGTTGGAGTGAGTTTCTTGCAAAAATATAAAGTGTGAGTTTATGCTTTTGCAAAAAAGAAAGAAAGGTTTTCTTTTGATAGAGTTATGGAGACCCCTTGCATTTAAAGAAATGCATGAATTTATCAGTCTGGTTTGATCCTGATGATTCTGTGTCATGGAGAGCAGTTGAGGAATAGTGTATCCCTATGAACTACGGCATCTTGTTTTTTACGGGGTTCCACTAAATCTCAGTTTGGTCCTATTGTAACTCATCTTCTCTCCACTTCACAAACACACCAAGTTACAATCTGGCATAGGCATTCGCCTATTTTCCATATAATAATCATTTGGCAAGGCCCCATTTCATTGTCCGCAATGGACTCAGAACAAAGTAAACACTTTGGGAGAGATCTATGATGATATGGGTCTAAAATCATTTCAGAACATTAAATAATTTTAATGTACATTATAATTTACAAGGTACGTCTTTTTATATGTATTTGCAAATGAGATCGGCCCTTCGGGCATATGGGGTACCTTGGGACTCCCATTTACCTATTTACCCACTGCGCAAATTAATTCTTCCTTCTGAGAGATCTCCCTCGTCTGTTTCAGTTATTTATCTGTATCTTCTTGAGCATTCATACAAACCCTTATCTATTACAACTGTTTGGGCCAAGGATTTTAATGAAGATGTGCATGTTTTATTTTCGGATCAGGTATAGAGGATGTTAAAGTGGTCTTCAAAGAACCCCAATCACCAAATGATACACTGG